CTAAAATCTGAAAATACTAAGTGAAGAAGGAATACTAGATGCTGCTTATGGACACGTAAATATGTAATAAAAGTATAAAAACATGCATTGCATAATGAACAGCAAATTCAGAATGATGATATCTGGAAAATAATAGGAGTCATGGGATTAAGGGGTGACACGTGGGCACTTAACTTGTATTGAACTATTTTTTTTGTTAGATCAAGTGGTAGATATTTTTAAATGCCTGAATTACTTATGATTTTCTTTTTTGAGACAGGGTCTTGCTTTGTCACCCAGGCTGGAGTGCAGTGGTGCAAACATGGTTCACTGCAGCCTCAATGTCCCTGGCACAAGTGATCCTCCCACCTCAGGCCCCCAAGCAGCTAAATTACAGGTTTATGCCACCACACATGGCTAAGTTTTGTATGTTTTGAAGAGATGGGGTTTCACATGTTGCCCAGGCTGGTCTCGAACTCATGAGCTCAAGTGATGTGCCTGCCTTGGCCTCCCAAAGCGCTGGGATTATAGCAGTTTGGCGCATATTTTTAAAAATGAACCTACTAGGAAAGTGACCTCTGAATTCTTTATAGTGACTAAGCTGAAGGCTAAATGAGTTGTATGGACAATAAGAGGTGGAAAGAGGCAAAACAATCACCCAGAGATGCCCTGTGTTACTTTCAGTCACTGTTAAGACTAACACTTGTGCTGCCAGCCAGTCCTGCCAATGGAGGCATATGCTGTGAATGGTTCTGCAAAGAATATTACAATTCACACTCCATAGGATTTTTAGAATGGCCAAGTGATGATGTGATGTTAAAAATCTATCTGATTATGAGTTCTGACTTTATCTCACTTATCTCTCCTTGTCTATGAAAGCCTTTCATATTAAGTACATGACTGAGCATCCTTTTACATTTTTTTCTATTCTTTGCCAGAAAAGGATCTTGGTTGGGTTAATTTTTACTTGACATTTATGGAATCATTCTGAGGTGAGATATGTGGCAGTATGCTATCCCAATGAGCACAGAGCATATAACATTTAATACAATGGTGCATGAAATACCAGAGCAACTTTTCTTCCTTCTACTTGCAAGGATGCTTTCCAAAACCTCTTTTTGATGTGGAATATGCAATGAATGGGGATTCAGCTCTAAGGCAGATTACTAAATATATCTGCCTTGTGAACCCAACTCCCTCCTAAAAATGACCTTTAAAGAATCTTATAGGACACTAAGGGAACAGAGCAGCTCTCAGCATGAAACCACTCAAAATGTTCCACTCTGGGCAGGGCGCAGTGGCTCATGCCTGTAATCCCAGCACTTTGGGAGGCCAAGGTGGGCAGATCATGCGGTCAAGAGATGGAGACCATCCTGGCCAACATGGTGAAACCCCATCTCTACTAAAAAATACAAAAATTAGCTGGGTGTGGTGGCACACACCTGTAGTCCCAGCTACTCCGGAAGCTGAGGCAGGAGAATTGCTTGAACCTGGGAGGTGGAGGTTGCAGTGAGCTGATATCGCGCCGCTGCACTCCAGCCTGGCACCTGGTGACAGAGCGAGAGAGACTCTGTCTCAAAAAAAAAAAGTTCCACTCTGATCATCATTATGGGGAAGCCAAGTGATGGCTCAAGTGCAAAAAGGGGCAATGTAAAGTCAAAGGTGTCCTTCCAGATGCTGGAAGTTTTCCAGGTCACAGAACTGCAGCAATACAATAACTAGAGATGCATTTTCCAGATAGGTAACAGAGTCAAGACTTCCACTATGTTATTTAGGACTTTTACATATAAATGTCCTGTCTCAAAAGCCACTAAGACCATACAAGTTTCATGAACATTCACCACAAACCTTTCTTAAGCAGTATTTCATTGGAAAGCTGTCTACTTATGATGAAAAGGAGGCAAAATAAATGGATGCTATAACTAATTTCAGCACTTTTACTCCTGCTTATTAATCACCTCTTAGATGCAGTCGAAATCTCAAAATGATTAAGATGTAGAAAAGTGACAGGTGAACCTCAAAAGCCTAAGTCTAGATGACTAGGTCTCAAACTTTAGCATGGATTAGAATCACCCAAATGACTTGCTAAAATGTGGACTGCCAGGCCCCAGCTTTACAGTTTCTGATTCAGCAGGTCTGGAATGGTACCTAATAGTCTGCAATTCTAATGAGTTTTCAGGTGATAAAGATGCTGCTGTCCTTGGACCAGCTTGAGAACCACTGATGGAGACTTGGAGACCCTAGGGAAGGTATTTATCCTCTTTAAATCCCAGTTTATTCACTGGAAAGGGGGAGTATTTGGAAGATTAAATAAAATATCAAGAACTTGGTATAGTAGTTACATTAGGTGTTCTATAAATGATAGCTATTTTTAAATTCAACTTTAGAATTTAAAAAAGCCAACAAATTTCCCTATATATGGCATATAAATTACACACACTCTTTTATCTACATATTCACCCTGCTTCATTTCAAACAAGGTATCAGTTCCACTTATAAAGGCTAGGACTTCGGAATGAGAAAAAAGAAGCCATTATCCCAGAAGAAATATGCACCAAGGAGCCTATAGGTTCTGAATACCTATTGTGTAAACATGTCTCAAAAAGCCATTTGTACAGAGCTTGTTGTGTCTGTGAGGGACAGAGGGTGGGTTTAATAGGGGAACTTTGGAGGGAGGGTGATTTTAATAGGGGAACTTTATTTTCTCACACTGAACAGCAGCAAGAAACTAGGGATTTCCACAATCAAAGACAGGATTTAAATTATAAACATCTTCTGTGAAATAAGCCTGAACATCAGGATGAAAATGTCAAATTTACAGACTCCCTTTCCTTTTCCACTGAAAGCAGTACTGAAGGAGAGGAGAGGGAAGAAAAAGTTGAGATTGGCTGTGATTATTGCAGTCACAAAGCAGCATTTGCCCTTCAAAGTCTCCTATTTCTTTACAAAGTCAACAGCATCCCCTGGGCCCAGTCTCCAAATCAAGTACAAGGTTTGATAAGAAAGCTTGAGAAGAAAATGGGAGAGAAAAGTGGGCAGAATTGGGGTTGGGACTGGACAGAAATGGTATATCCTGTTTCCTTTCTATCTCTAGGGGGTCAAAGCCCATAAGCAGCTGGGTTCTATTCCACCCCAGCTCCGGCAGTGGCCTAAATGGGATCAGCATCATCCTACTCTCCTCCCGCAGAAAGCCCTAACAAAGTAATAGCAGCGTGAGACATGTGGAGTCCAGTGGGCACACAGTGCTGAACCCTATATCTTCTGCATTTCCAATAGGTGGAGAAGTCTTTCCACTGGTGTGAAAATTCCATACTAATAAGTTAGTTTGAAGATAAGTTTCTGGCTTGGCACCTAGGCTTTGTAAACTTTCCATTTCTGATTTGAGATAAGTAAGTGTTATTTGCTGGCAGGTTATTAACGTCATATATGATGAGGATGATAATGATGATAAAACATCATTATCACAACAATAGATGCTAATCTCAACGACTGAGCACTGGTTTGGTTTTCTCTTTTTTTTTAAGACAGGGTCTGATCTCACTTAGTTGCCCAGACTGGACTGCAGTGGCTTGACCTCCTCAGCTCAAGCAATCTTCCCACCTCAGCCCCCTAAATAACTGGGACTACAGACACGCAACATCACACTCAGCTAATTTTTGTATTATTTTTGTAGAGATGCCAAGTCACCCAGGCTGGTCTCAAACTTCCGAACTCAAGCGATCCTCCTGCTTCAGTCTCCCAAAGTACTAGGATTACAGACATGAGCCATCGCTCCTGGCCATACTGAGTATTTTGTGTACCAAACTGAGATCATCCTGAAATTCAGGGATGTATGGGGAATGAAAAAGTGCAGGTGACCAAGGGATGGTGAAGAAGACTCTTTATGGGAGAAATGAGGACCTTCAAAGCAGGAACCCCAAGGCCACTCTGCTTTAGACTCTATGTGGTCTTAAGCAATATTTTAATCTCACCATTCCCTAGCCTGTAAAAAAAATGTATTGAAATGAGAATTAAGTTTAAGAAGTCTAAATTCTTCACAAACTGCTATAGGGATGTCAGCTCTCATTTTTATGGCAAATCAGCAGTTTCTAGATGGGGCAGACTGGGGAAACCATGTGGGGGCAGAATTCTTAAGGACTCATGGCCCAGAGGGAGGACTAATGGAAGGAGGAAGAACCCAATTGTGACACTAAAGAAAAAACCCCACAGAGAACACTATCTCCCTCTCAAACCAGAAGCATATAATTAATTTATATCACCAGTTCATTTTTTTCTCCACACATGCCTCATGGTCCATACTAGAAAAATTTCCTACAGATCAATTGAGAGTTCAGCCACTCCATTAGAAGCACTGTGAGGATGCTCCCAAATCTCAACATTTTCCAAAACTGGTCTGATAAACGCCTCTATCCACACATCCATCCATCTACCTACCTGTCCAATGTTTATTAAGCTCCTACAATGTTGCAGTCACTACATTAAGGTGCTGGAGATATAAGATGCTCTCCTTTGACCAAGCCCTTCATCCCATTTTGGCTCTATATCTACAAACTGGGATGTGCAGAGCATTATATATTGGAGGAGTACAGGATGATGAAAGCGTTTAATCCCACTCCAAAACAAATCCCTGGGATTCCCCCACATCAACCCACTGTTATGGTCTTCAAGTTTTACTTTGAATACTGATTTTCAAGGACTATGATACATTTGAAGATTTAGAAAAACTAACCTCTTGATAATATTAGGTCTTCCTATTATGATTAAGAGATGGCTTTTTATTTATCAGCACTTCTTTAAAAATACTGATTTTTAATAAGTTACATCTAGATTACCAGGTCACTGTCTCATAGGTCTTTTCTAAACAAAGCCTATAGGAAGCAATGAATAATAATGAAATAAGAAAGAAGCAAAATCAAATCTTGAAAAGCAGAAATATTCCCTATATGCCGTCTCCTCCTCTAGGGGTCTCCATTCCACACTGTATTGATTCATCCAACAAAACTTTAGTAAAGAACACTTACTCAGGGCTGTCTGGATATCCTTTTCCCCATTTTTCACTTCTGTTAAAAATCCCTTCAGAAATTTGAGACCTCTAAAACAAAATAGCGGAAGAAATATTATTTTCAAAGTTCGCTTATGTTCAATGGGTATGAAGAAATGGCAGATATCAGCTTCCATTTCAGTAACATCTTAGGCACAGCAGTGAAGAGGTCAAATCATATGGCAGTCCTTCCTGAACTTCTTCCCTTCACTTCCCTTTAGCTTGCTATGGAGCTCATCCTCCATCCCATCTGATATACCTAAAGAAGTGATTTTCAAAATGTGTCCCAGGACTAGTGGCTTTAGCATCACCTGGGAATTTGCTAGAAATGCAAATTCTGGGCTGGGTGCAGTGGCTCACGCCTAGAATCCCAGCACTTTGGGGGGCCAAGGTGGGTGAATCACGAGGTCAAGAGATCGAGACCATCCTGGTCAACAAGGTGAAACCCCGTCTCTACTAAAAATACAAAAATTAGCTGGGCATGGTGGCGCATGCCTGTAGTCCCAGCTACTTGGGAGGCTGAGGCAGGAGAACTGCCTGAACCCAGGAGGCGGAGGTTGCGGTGAGCCGAGATCGTGCCATTGCACTCCAGCCTGGGTAATAAGAGCGAAACTTCGTCTCCAAAAAAAAAAGGAAAAAAAAAGAAATGCAAATTCTGGAGCCCCACCCCAGAGTGACTGAATCAGAAACTGGTTCTGAGTCTAGTGTTTTTAAGAAGCCCTCCAGATGATTCAGATGCCACTGAAGTTGGAGAGCCACTGATTTTAAATAGAAACCAGTTGACTTTAATGCCTTTAAGATTCCTATCTTGTATATACTTATTATTATTAACAATATTTATCACCATCAAGAGGGAGGCAAAAAAAAATAAGGTGGTATTATTCATTAGGCCTTCTAGAAAAGGATACACAATTCAATTAGATCCTTCATTCAGAAGTAGTCTCTCTGTGTAACTTTTTTTTTTTTTTTTTTTTTTTTTTGCTGGTAACATTTCAACTGAGCTACATTTTAACTGCTGTCCCATCCCAACTGCCTCACCTCTTCAGCCATAAGAGGGCTTCAGTCGCGGAGTTCCTAACCTGGGCTACATCGGCCTCCACTTCATGCAGTACTATCTTCTGGAGAGTGGTAAACTCTTCTTTGTTGGTTATATACTTCTGATTTACTTTCTGGAGGGAAAGCAGGGAAATAACCTAAGTTAAAAATGCTGAGGTTATCAAACAACTCAGTATAATACTGAAACTTGTAAGTTTGGCAAGCAGGCCTCTAAGAAATCAAAATAAATTAAGCTTTTATTACCTTGTTCCTTATGTTTTCAAGATAATTTTTTTTTTTTGAGAATTCTATGCAGCTTAAACTGGAATTAAATAGTCTCGGGGTTTAAAGTTTTGTTCTTTTGTTTTGTTTTTCTGCCCAGGCTGGAGGGCAGTGGTATGATCTCGGCTCACGGCAACCTCTACCTTCCAAGTTCAAGCGAGTATTCTGCCTGAGCCTCCTGAGTAGCTGGGGCTACAAGGTGCACGCCACCAAGCCCAGCTAATTTTTGTATTTTTAGTAGACACAGAGTTTCACCATATTGGCCAGCTGGTCTCAAACTCCTGACCTCGTGATTCACTCGCCTCGGCCTCCCAAAGTGCTGGGATTAGAGGCATGAGCCACCATCCCAGCCTAAAGTTTTGTTCTTTAAGTTCTTTTTTCTGCCCCAGAACCTCTCTCATGGCTGTCTTTGGCAGATACTTTTCACTCTGAGTATAAAACTCAACAATTACTTGCTCTAATGAGACTACATGCAACTATTGCTCCCAAATACAATAAAGAAAGGTATATCTACAGGAATTCCTAATAGTGCTTCCTCAAAGACTAGTATCCAGTGACAAAAAAGACAGATTTTTATTGGGTATCATATCCTCAAGAAGGTAACATTTAATCTACATTTAAAAGGGGACCCATCCCTTATTTTATCTGGAAGAAAGAGGCTGAGAGAGATTTGGTGAGTTGTTGTTGATGGTCCCATAGCTACCCCTGAAGCTGGGCCTTTTGAGTCCCAGACCACTGACAGGTATTTTCATTATATAACCTATCTTTTAGAAAAATATAATTTGTCATCATTTAAACCTAAAACAGCACAGAATCAATGTGGGCATTAGAGTGAAACCCTAGTGATCTACACTGTGCACAGGAAAAGGCAATCCTGGTTTCTTTTTCAAAATGAATCTTTTAACTCCCCAAAAAGCCTACCTCTAGCATATAATAAAGGCTTAGTAATTCCCTTACTGAGCATTTACAATGTGACAAGAAAGACACTTGCTCTCTTACAGAATAGTGATACATTTTTCACTTTTTGATTTATTCTTGCGAAGCACAAAAATATTGAAAACATTTTCTTTTATTTAAGTTTCCACAGAGAAAAGCCAGTATGCTCACCTTAATATTTCCAACAAGATCCATCTTAACAGGAGCAAACACTGTAGGGCCAAGTTTGTCTAAAGAAAAGATTAAAAATATTTCTGAAAAATCAATTTTTTAAGTGGAATTACTTTTATAGTAAAAATAAATGTAGTAGCTCCCCAACAACTTTGATTTTTACTTCCAAATAATTTTCTAAACATAACCTTCGAAAGCTTCCAGGATACTGTTATCACCTTTTTCTATTACTCTACTGCAACGTAAGTTATAATGAGGCCCTAAGTGGCAGGTAGGATGAAGATAATCTTCCAAGTTTAGGATACATATAGTAATCCTTAAGGCTGCACTGTCCAATACAATAGCCACTAGATATGTGGTTAGTTTGCACTTGCAGTGTGGCTAGCACTAACCAAAATGTACTTTAAGTGTAAAATACATACCAGATTTGGAAGACTTAGTACCAAAAAGAGATTGCAAAATATCTCATTAATAATTTTTTTTTTTTTTTTTGAGACAGACTATTTTGCTCCATTCCCAGGCTGGAGTGCAGCAGCGTGATCTTGGCTCCCCGCAACCTCTACCTCCTGGGTTCAAACGATTCTCCTGCCTCAGTCTCCTAAGTAGCTGAGATTACAGGTACCTACTAACACGCCCAGCTAAGTTTTGTATTTTTAGTAGAGATGAGGCTTCACCATGTTGGCCAGGCTGGTCTTGAACTCCTGACCTCAAGCGATCTGCCCACATCAGCCCCCCGAAGTGGTGGGATTATAGGCATGAACCACCATACCCAGACTCATTAATAATTCTTTTTTTCTTTTTCTTTTCTTTTCTTTCTTTTTTTTGAGACAAGAGTCTCGCTCTGTTGCCAGGCTGGAGTGCAATGGCACAATCTTGGCTCACTAAAACATCCGATACCTGGTTCAAGTGATTCTCCTGCCTCAGCCTCCCAAGTAGTTGGCATGATGCCACCAAACCCAGCTAATTTTTATATTTTTAGTAGAGATGAGGTTTCATCATGTTGGCCAAGATGGTCCTGACCTTCTGACCTCATGATCCACCTGCCTTGGCCTCCCAAAGTGCTGGGGTTAGAGGCATGAGCCACTGCAACCAGCCCAATGATTCTTTTATATTGATTACATGTTGAGATATTTTAGATATCCTCAGTTTTAAAATACATTATTAAAATTAATTTTTGCTTATTATGTTAATGTGCCTACTAGAAAATTTAAAATTACATCTACAGTCTGAGTATTTCTGTTGTGCAAGAAAGATGACCAAAAAATGCAACAAAGAGGTATAGCTAAAAAGAGGAAAGATAGTGGAATTCTAAAAAAAAAAAACAAAACTTGATTGATCTAAAAGAAAGGCAGGGATCAAGATAGGTACCTAAAAGGCCAAAAGAGGAAATGAAACAGAATATTAAAAAGAAAATTAACTGTCTAGAAATCAGAAAAGGAGTAAAAAGGGAAGAAAGAACATATAGAGAAATGCAGAAAACAAACAGCAAGATGACAGAAATATCAAGATAACGAATGAAATTCATCCAAACCATGTAATTCACATTACAGAAAAGACTTCAACAAATACAGAAAAAACATTTACAAAATTATTCCTGATTATAAAAACAACTCTCACCATATAATCATTTGTATTTACATGCTATTAATAATTGGAAAATGAAATAAAACTTTTTACAATAGCATAAAAAAAACTCTAAAATGTATTTCTAACAAAAGATGTATGATGGTTGTACACTAAAAACTACATAAAATATTATTGAGAGAAAATTAAAATGATATAGAGAGATATAGCATGCTCAGAGATTGGAAAATTCCATGTTTTTGTTTTTGAGACAGGGTCTTGCTCTGTCACCCTAGGATGGAATGCAGTGGTGCAATGATGGCTCACTGCAGCCTTGAGATCCTGAGCTCAAGTGATCCTCCTGCATCACCCTTCCAAGTAGCTGGGACTACAGGCTTGTGCCATCATATCTGGCTAATTTTTTTAATAGAGACAGGGTCTTATTTTGTTGCCTAGGCCAGGATCGAACTCCTGATCTCAAGAGATCCTCCTGCCTTGGACTCCCAAAGTGCTGGGATTACAATTATAAGCCGGTAAGCCCTGCCTTCAATGTTGTTTAAGATGTCAGTTACCCCTAACTGGTTTACAGATATGATATAATCTTAACCAAATCCTAAAAGGTTTTTAAATAGGAATTGGACAGCTAAAATTTATCAAAAGACCTAGAATTTCCAAAACAATCCTAAAAAAGAAAAAACTGAGAGACTTATTATTATCTGATTTCAAGTCTTTATAATTATTAAGACACCATAAGATCACTGGAACAGAAGAGAGAGTCCAGAAACAGTCCCACATTATAAGTTCAATTGATTTTTGACAGAGCTGCCAAAGCAATGTAAAAGGGAAAATATATTTTGACAAATGGTTCTTGAGCAACCAGATACCACAATGGAAAAAAAAATGAACCTCAACCCCCTACCTCATACCACACAGAAAAAATAATTCCATTGGTTCATAGGCACAAATGTAAAAGTCAAGAGTCTAGTACAAAACAGAATATTTTCATGACCTTTGGGATAAGTAAAGATTTCTTAAGTCACTAAAAGCACTAAGTATAAATGAAAAAATTGGACTTCATTGAAATGTAAAACATCTGCTGAAAAGGCATCATGAAGAAAAGAAGGAGGCAAGCCAGTCTGGGGGAAAATATTCACATGTCTACAATGGAATTTTAGTTAACAATATATAAAGAACTCTCGCACCTCAGTAATGAAAAGGAAAACAATTAATTTTTAAAATGGGTGAAAGATTTGAAAAGACACTTCATAATGGAAGAGATAGAAATGGCCAATAATCATACAAAAAAGTGCTCAGTACTTTTTTTTTTTGAGATGGAGTTTCGTTCTTGTTACCCAGGCTGGAGTGCAGTGGCTCAATCTCGGCTCACTGTAACCTCCGCCTCTGGGTTCAGGCAATTCTCCTGCCTCAGCCTCCTGAGTAGCTGGGATTACAGGCACGCGCCACCATGCCCAGCTAATTTTTTTGTATTTTTAGTAGAGACGGGGTTTCACCATGTTGACCAGGATGGTCTCAATCTCTTGACCTCATGATCCACCCGCCTCAGCCTCCCAAAGTGCTGGGATTACAGGCGTGAAGTGCTCAGTATTTTTAAGTGCTCATTTCCTTAGTCATCATGGAAATGCAAATTAAGGCCACATGAGATACCACTAAAACACTGAGGAATGGCCAAACACAAAATACTGACACCATCAAATGCTAGTGAAGATGTGAAACAATTGGAATACTCATACACTGTGCACAATTGCACAACCACTACATAAACTGGCAGTTTATCATAAACTATGAACCAGCAATTCCAGTCCTAGGTATTTACTTAAGAGAAATGAAAGCACAGCCCCATAGGCACAAAAATGTTTAGAGTAATTTCATTTATAATAGTCCCAAACTGGCCAGGAGCGGTGGCTCATGCTTGTAATCCCAGCATTTTGGGAAGATCATGTGAGGTCAGGAGTTTGAGACCAGCCTAGCCAACATGGTGAAACCCTGTCTCTACTAAAAATACACACACAGACACACACAGAATAGCCAGGTGTAGTACTGCAGGCCTGTAATCCCAGCTACTCAGGAGGCTGAAGCAGGAGAATCACTTGAACTTGGGAGGTGGAGATTGCAGCTGAGATCATGCCACTGCACTCCAGTGAGATCATGCCACTGAACTCCAGCCTAGGTGATCGAGCGAGACTGTTTCAAAAAGAAAAAAACAAGTCCCAAACTACAAACTGCCCAAAGTCCATCAATAAGAGAGTGAATAAATACTTGTGGTATATTCATTTAATGGAATACTACTTAAGGAATGAACTACTGATACAGACAAGGATGAATCTCAAAAACACACTGTATGTGAAAAACCAGGAATGAACTACTGATACAGACAAGGATGAATCTCAAAAACATACTGTATGAGAAAAGCCAGATGCAGAAGTTATAATATTTCAGTTATATCAAGTTTTAGAATAGGCAAAACTAACCTATGGTGACAGAAATCAATAAAATGGTTATTTCAGGCTAAGTGCCACAGGGATCATTCCAAGGTGATGAAAACATGCTATTTCTTGGTAAGAATATAGATTACAGAGGTAGGTCCATTTGTCAAAATTCACTGAATCATAACATTTAAGTCCTATGCAAGTTATACCTCAATTTTTAAGAGAGATATATAGTTAAATGGGGCATAAAGCAAATTTCAACACATTAGCCATCCTTGGCACTACTGACTTTATACAAGTAAAAGTGAATTTGATCCAAATAAACTTATATATAACAAATATATGTGTGTGTGTATATATGTGTGTGTATATATATATGTGTGTGTGTGTATACACACACACACACACACACTTTTTTTTTTGAGACAGGCTGTCATTCAGGCTGGAGTACAGTGGTGCAATTTCGGCTCTCTGCAACCTCCACCTCCTAGATTCAAGAGATTCTCCTGCCACAGGCTGCAGAGTAGTTGGGATTACAGGTATGAACCACCATGCCCAGATAATTTTCATATTTTTAGTAGAGATGGGGTTTCACCGTGTTGGCTAGGCTGGTCTCAAACTCCTGACCTCAGGTGATCCACTTGCCTCAGCCTCCCAAAGTGCTGGAATTACAAGCGTGAACCACCACACCCAGCCATAACATATATAAATATGTATTTATATATGACATGTAAATTTATATTTACATATAACATAAATATAAATATATATAAATTGGTGGGGAGAGAGAGAGAATAACTAAAAATCTTTGAAAATATGTTTTGGCCAGGTGTGGTAGTTCATGCCTGTAATCCCAGCATTTTGGAAGGGAAGGATCACTTGAGCCGAGGTATTCCAGACCAGTACACGTGACATGACAAAACTCATCTCTACAAAAAATACAAAAATAAGCTGGGCATGCACATATAGTCCAGCTACCCAGAAGGCTGAGGTGGAAGGACTGCTTGAGCCTGGGAGGTGAGGATTACAGTGAACGGAGATCATGCCACTGCACTGCAGCCTGGGCAACAAAGCAAGACACTGTCTCAAAAAATAACAACAACAGAAAACTTTTAACTGGTAAAACACATTTTTTCACAGTGCCAACATATGAAGGCCTATTCCTCAATTACTCGTTTTACTTTTATGTATGGTTTCTGGAAAGCAAAATCCCCTTTTAAAATTATATTACTCTGAGATCAATATTTAATCATAATTAGAAATGAAATGGCAATATGCAATAATGCTTGAGGTCATATAGTTTTAATTGTATGTGGCTGGTGATCTGAACAAGTAGCTAAAAAGGGTCATCTCACTGCACATAGTTGAGGGTATTTCTCCTGCAAAACAACTGCGGTGAGACAGATTCTAGAGATGAATTAATGTAAGACAACTGCAGGAATCTTACCTAACACTGGAACCACAGCATAACATGATGCCAAGAATGCTTCTGTGGGAATGCCACTGTCTTCCAAAAGTTCAATGTCACTAAAGCTACATAATTTGGTGATATGGAGGAGAAAAGATTGAAAATACAGTATTAGCACTCTGCAATTCAAAGGTAGTCATAGAAACAGCTCTCCCTCTGTAGGGCAAATCATTTGACTTCATATGCTCCAATGACTGTTTTTCTAATATGGTCTCATAAAATAATTTTCTAAAGAAAAATCCACCAAAGCAAGCTAAAATTTGTTCAGAGAGTACACCCGACAATCAATTCCTTCTTATTCACTGTTAAGAAAAAGTAAACAATAAAGCAGGTACTTGGCATACTATACTCTCTATTCTCTTAGAATACGCCATCACCTGAAAGGAACACCATGACTGATTTTCCAGAATGGAAGCTAGTATCCAAACATCAGTAATATTAGAAAGTCTAGAATACCTTGTGTTCATGGTACTAAAGAAAGTTGGAATAACTTCTTTGCCTTCCTCCCAGAGGGATTCTTGAGAGCAACTTGGGGAGTCTGAACCAGACTGAGTCAAATTATTATCATGGTTTTCCAGGTTTTCCACTCCATCTTCCTTCATTATTTCACCCTGAACTGCAGAGTAGAAAATATCTATTACTGATCTATTATAAAAATTCATAGTCTTTGTTAAAACTTTCTAAAACAGAAAAATACACAGATATAAAAATTCATGAAACACTGTTCACATACACACATACATACATCTACACATACAAACACAACTTCAAGCATGTGTATGTTTGTATCCTGCTTGCTTTCACTAAACAATGTATCATGAATATTTTCATTATCATTCAACTCTTCAAAACCATGATTTTAATGACCATGTTATATTGCACCATTCCCATGAGGGGCATTTAGGTGGCTTCCAAAATTTTACAATTATAAATACAATCACTACTCATTTAATTAGCACATTATATACATATTTGTGAATTTGTCTACTTGCTAAAATTTAGTTTGTAACCGAAAATCAAATACTGGCAGCACCTCTGCAGTCATTTGTGGAATGTGCAGAGTGGTGAAAACTTTGTGGCCCGACACACATATTCCTCATATTCCTAGCTGAGGTAGAGCAATGAGATGTCCTGCCTTCTTGTTTCCGCATTCATATATAGATAAATGTCCTTACTTAGTGCTACGTTTTATGCATGTTTGTGCATTTTGTTGTTTTTGCTGTTTAAAAGGGCTCCCGAGTATAGTACTGTTGAGTGTTCCTACCCACAAAATGGCTGTGATGTGCCTTTTGGACAAAAGATGTGTGTTATACAAGCTTCATTCAAGCATGAGTAATAGTGCTGTTTGCAGTGAGTTCAATGTTAATCAATCAACAATACATATTAAAGTGTCTTTAAACAAAAACACATATAAAACAAGGCTATATATTGATTGGTAAACAAAAATTTCATGATCAGAGGCTTGCAGGAACCTAACCCTGTATTTCCCCCAGGAGCAACAGTTTAGTATTTGCTAATTCAGCGTTCATGATGACTCAATAAAACATAACTACTGCAAATAATGAGAACTGACTGTAATGCCACAAAGAACATCCCTGTCAATAGGTCTTCATCCTTAAATCTGACTATTTGCTGAAGAACAATTCCTAGAAGTAAAACTATAGGAGCAAATACAAGACTGCACTATTTTGACAGACATTTTCTCCTGTCTTTATTATTTACAAGAGATAAGACTCCAGTGATGTATGGATTGTCTCTCAGATTAACAGCTAAGAAAACAGCTCCTTCCCCCAACTCCCATACTGCTCCTCAATTCATCTGGAAAAAACAGAGTCTATTTCAAAGTAGATGAGGAGAAAATTTTTATTTCATTTTCAAATTATTAAGTACTTATAACACAATTAAAAGCTCTAATATATCATCATCTATGTTGTCTTTGATCTGAAGTAAATTTCAGTGATTAGTGTCAAGAGATTAGCATATTTGAACTACAGACCCAATACCTGAAATGTGGGACCCTGACTTGATAAACACAGTGAAGACTGGGTAGAAACCTCATGGTGACTGGTGAATTCTGACACCCTCAGGCCCAACAGAACCCGCAAGGATGAAAAACTGAACTGTCATAATTTTACAGACTCTTAAGTCACACAGCATAGTCTAAGTTCAAAGGACTTTAAGATACAGGGTTGAAGGCCAGTGAAGTACTCCTACCCTCTAAAAGGTCAGCATGCATAGCTGTTGCTCACTGCAGCCCATGAATGTAGCCAAGAACAATGAGCAGGAATCTTCCTCTTCACTCTGCCTTCTCAACACCAGGTCAGACTGGATGAAAGAATGTTTTTCAGTCATATGACCTATCTTACCCAGCCAATATCCTCCTTAGGAGACACTACTACATGATCTTGAGGTGAATCCCTATCATGGATATAAATCAAATTCCCAAATTTTCTATCATCTAAAATTGGCGTGCTTCAGACTTTACTTTTGTTTTTACCTGTTATATTATCATCTGTATTTTCCTCACTTGATAGGCTGCAGTCTATCTCTGCAGATTTCAAATATAAGGAATTCTTATTTTTCATGAGGATTTCTTCATCACCATTTATTGCCATATTTAAAGATCCATTTTCACAACTGCTCAACTCTATTTGCCTGCAATTTTTTTAAAAGGAAAAAAAGTCAGAAAGTGCAGTTATTTGGTCATAATTTTTTTTTTTTTGAGACAGGGTCTCCACTCCGTCACCCAGGCTGTAGTACAGTGGCACAATCACAGCTCACTGCAGCCTCAATCTCTTGGGCTTCAGCGATCCTCCTACTTGAGTCCAACACTCCACCTTGAGTAGCTGGGACTACAGGTGCCTGCCACCATGCCCAGCTAACTTCTGATTTTTTGTAGCCATGCAGGTCTCACTATGTTGCCCAGGTTGGTCTTGACCACTTGGCCTCAGGCAGTCCTCCTACCTCACCCTTCTAAAGTTCTGGGATTACCTGGGCGGTCAATTTATGACCAGGCATGAGCCACCTCCCCAGCCTGGTCATAAATTGACTGCCCAGGTAAATGTTATCCTTATAACATCCTCTGAAAGAATTGATAAATCAAGCCAAATCTCCCAGTCTCCTCCTCCAATGCCTGTGATGGGAGCAGGCCAGCCTCAAGGCTGCAATTTAGAAATAAAAGAGCCATTTATGGCTAGCACCCTCAACAGTCCCAATCTTCCAGCTCCCCAGCAGCATCAGGAAATAGTCACTGACAGCTCTTTGGTTCTCAATCAGCTTTCTCCAGGTGCCACTTTGAATACTTTACTTTCCTCAATTCTCCCTGGGAGACGTCTTCTCTCTCTTTACATCACTGGCCATTTCCCTGTGTCTGCCCAGCCAGTAACTGTCTAGAAGCCACATGCTGTGGTCATGGGAGAGTACTCCTTTTTTATTTTTTTTGAGATGGAGTCTCGCTCTGTTGCCGAGGGTGGAGTGCAATGGTGTGATCTAGGCTCACTGCAACCTCCGCCTCCCGAGTTCAAGTGATTCTCCTGCCCAGGTGCCCACTACCAAACCCAGATAAGTTTTGTATTTTTAGTAGAGATGGAGTTTCACCAGGTTGGCTAGACTGGTCTCGAGCTCCTGACCCTCAGGTGATCCACTCACCTTGGCCTCCCAAAGTGCTGGGATTATAGACGTAAGCCACCATGCTCAGTCAGGGAAAGTACTCCTTATAAAGTATATCTGAGAGACTGGGCATGGTGGCTCACACCTGTAATCCCAGTAATTTCGGAGGCCGAGGTAGGCAGATCATGAGGTCAAGAGATCGAGACCATCCTGGCCAACATGAAACCCTGTCTCTACTAAAAATACAAAAATTAGCCAAGTGTGGTGGCACGTGCCCATGGTCCCAGCTACTCGGGAGGCTGAGGTGGAAGAATCACTTAAACCCAGGAGACAGAGCTTGCAGTGAGCCAAGATTGAGCCATTGTACTCTAGCCTGGCGACAGAGCAAGACTCTGTCTCAAAAAATTAAAATAATAAAAAATAAATAAAGTATGTCTGACAGAAAAGACCCAGAAGAAAAACATCACATCCTGAGAGAACTGTGAGTTGGCTTTTTCTGTTGCCCTAACATGCAAGTAGAACAGCTGATTCTACTGGTTAAAGGAACAATCATGGTATCTTATTATTATGATTAGGTGATTATACCTAGCCAAATTAGAACAAAAATATTTTATTCTAACAAAAATAAGGAGGAAGGGTCCAAGCCACATAGTAACTCGAGGAAAAATATTTGCTATTTTCTAAAAAATACTATATTTCAACCTAGTAATTCAAAATGTAGGAGTATATAAAGGTAAAGACCTCAACAACAACAAAAAAATCTACAAATATAATTCTAGTAGAAATATTTAGAACAGGAGAAAATTGGAAATAACTAAATTGGGAAAAATCCTTGTAATAAAGAAGTAAACAATAGTATATAAAGAGATAAACTATTAAATCATTTGAGGCCAGGCACAGTGGCTCAGGCCTGTAATACCAACACTTGGGAAGACCAAAGCAGGTGAATTGCTTGAGCTCAGGAGTTTAAGACCAGCCTGGGCAACATGGTGAAACTGTCTCTACAAAAAATACAAAAAGTAGCCAGGCTTGGTGGCATGTACCCATTATCTCAACTACTTGGTTGGCTGAGGTAAGGATTGCTTGAGCCCAGGAGGTTGAGGCTACAGTAATTTCACACATGGAATTTAACCCACTTCCATGGGTTAAATTACCAAAAATTGAAGGACCATTTAGGGGAAAAGAAATAGTTTAGATTTTGATACTAGGTTATTTTTCAACCTGCAATGCTACCTAAGATTTTTATTGTTCAACTCAACAAGCCGGGCACAGTGGCTCAAGCCTGTAATCCCAGCACTTTGAGAGGCCGAGGCGGGTGGATCATGAGGTCAAGATATCGAGACCATCCTGGTCAACATGGTGAAATCCCGTTTCTACTAAAAATACAAAAAATTAGCTGGGCATGGTGGCACGTGCCTGTAATCCCAGCTACTCAGGAGGCTGAGGCAGGTGAATTGCCTGAACCCAGGAGGCGGAGGTTGAGGTTAGCCGAGATCGCGCCATTGCACTCCAGCCTGGGTAACGAGAGCGAAACTCCGTCTCAAAAAAATAAAAAAATAAATAAACTCAACAAAATAGCACTACTGTCATTTTCAGATAAAAGCACACTTAAAACAATGCTCAGCTCCTCTATAAGAGAAATTTCAATCTTTAGGACACCCTAGAGAGATTACTAGATGTGATGGGTGAGATCCATCTTAGGGAAAACGCAAACATCTTCCCTATCAGTGCTAGGGAATCTTCCTATCATCTTCCCTATCAGCGCTAAATGAAAAGTCTGTTCTGTGTTAATTCGGGCTCACCCAAAAGAGGAAAGTCAGATACTGTTTACTTCCATATTATTTCAAATCCTGAGCAAAACCATTATATGATCAAAGTATCATTTTTTTTAAACAAGATCTAACAACATCCTTTTTTAATTTTTAGCAAGAAGAAAAAAAAGCTACTGTACCTTTCCAATGAGTTATGAATTGGTATAATAGGATGTTTCATCTTTAAAAGAAGAAAGAAAAGTTCACATGTTAAATTTTGAACAGAGCATATTTAGGATCTTATTACATAGAAAACGGTAAATACGACCATATGACCATAATATACACTAGCCCCACTAAACAGAAACAATTTTAGGTCTTCCCAAAAGGGAGTCATGGTTCCAACCAGTCCTTCTTATTTATTCCAATAAATTTCTAAGGAAAAGGAAGATGATCTTTTGACAGACCTATTATCACAGTCAAACTCAGTGATTAGCTTTCTTTGTAATTTTAATTATGCTCATTAAACATTAGTAAGTTGCAAACTAAGACAAAGTATTATATCAAATACTAGAGGTATAAAGGTAGACACTATGGAGTTCTTGCCCTAAAAATCATTTCTATTTAAAACAAGGAATATAAATAAAATATGAATATGTATAAGAGAGGCTCTTAGCCCAATCTAGGGATTCAGGGAAGAAGAGACTAAGTCTTTGAGGAAGAATATGAGCTAATCCAAGAAAGAGAGATGAAGAGCATTCCTGGCACTGCAAAATGGCACAAAGGAGTGGGAGGAACTATTAACACAAGCAATGAGTAAGTTTCTCATGATGTATTGTTGCAGCCAAACTGAGCAGGACTTTTACCTTGCTGGACTTGAGCATGGCCAGCTGTGGTGATCCTGGTGGAGTGCGGTAGAGCAGCTCAGAGGTGAAGGCTGCATTTGCAATCTGCATGCATTCTTCCAAGGTCTTCAGAAATGTATTACAGGTTGATTTCAGCAAAGTTCCCACATCAATTCCCTCCTACAAAACAACCAGAGTGGAAGACTCCTTTACCTTGTCAAAAAAGAAAAATTTCCAATTGTGGAATGTCCTGAGAGGTTGTCCACAAAATAACAATAATGTATCCATCTACTGGGCAAATACTTACATCAGTTATAAAAGAAAACCCCAATTTATCTATTAATCAAGTAACTTAGTACTATTTGACTTTAACCTACAGGCAATGAAGGAACTGCTGAAAGCCTTAGGTCGTAAAGTGGTTCAATTTACATTACATTAATTGTAACTCCCTCAGTCACGACAACCAAAAGTATCTCTGGGCATTTCCTAGTGTCTCTAAGAGGCACAAGTACTCTGGGTTGAGAGTCACTGCTCTAGACTATAAACTTCCCAAGAGCAGGATTGAAATGCTTTTTTTGGTATCCTTCATCTTCCCTTTCCCTCCCTTAGCAGTCTATCTCATATATAATAGGCAGCTGCTGAATGAGTAAAAGCACCCAAAAGGAAGTGAATACAAGTGGGTTAAATCACCTTTTTTAGAAAAACTCAAAACACATGTACTCCTAGTAGCATAGAGTTCTTCTACTACCTAAACAAATAAACGAAAATGTTTAATTATAATCTGTAGATGCATTATTTGTCAGATGGAAACTTCTTTGAAAGCAGAGCAGAGTCCTTGGTTAATGTCAGCCACTCCATATACAGCTTAACACCAGAGAAATCCCTTAATATGTGTTTTAGAATAAGTGAATAATGACTGTATTAATAAATGCTAAAAATCACAAGTCTTGCTGACAACGAAGAGAAAAGCTGTGTCTCCATCTTTGAAAGCACTAGTCTATTCCAAAGCACACTTATGATTGTAAAATACTATGTCATAGATGCACATCAGTGACAGACATTAAATTGGCATCTTAATAGCCATAGCTATAGAAACAGCATTGCAAGACTGTAATTAACAAAACAATATAAACTGGAGAGAAACATATTTGAGTATGACAGTACTAAAGTTAAAGGTTCCAAATATTATCAGTTAATTAATTCCCAATTCATTCCAGGAAGGAAAGCTATATACTTCCATATAATGAAATGTACATATTGCTTCTCCTTGTATTTTGTTATTTTCCTCTATAAAACAGTAAATTCCAAGACAGTCATAAATTAGCTGAGAGTAAATACCACCTGTAAACAACATCTGGTGCTTTTAATGTATATTAATAATATTAATAAAATATTTTACCTCAGAATTGCTATTCTGGTAGTCACTTCTTTGATGTTATTCATGTAAATTAATAATATTTTACCTCAGAATTGGACACGCCAGTTGTGGTCACTTCTTTTGTTTTATCTACTTGCTGAACAAGGAGGTCACAGTAGAGTCTTAGTTCTGACATTTTGGTTTTCAAGTTTTCAGTGTTTTCAGCAAACTCTAAATAACAAAATGATAATGTAGTAACCAGAACAAACAACTGATTTACTAGTTAAGCTATTACACAGAACATATGCCCAAAGTCAGATGTTTAAAGTATGGGTTGCAAATGGAACAGGTGAAGACATAAGAATAAGAAAAAGCAGAAAAATCAGATTTCCAGCCTTTTAAAGCAGTATACATTATTTCTTAAGCCAACATACCAAACAATCACCAGTATACAAAGAAGGAGACAATATACTGTCTGATCCACTCCTCTCAGAACTGGGAACAGAGCTAAGGAGTTCAGAGTTTTGAACTCAGTTCTGCCAGAGAGTTTTTCCTATCTATAAAATGGGGTCACAGCTGTTTATCTACTAATATAGTGCTCTACTCTTGCCTGGGAAAGGCATTCTATAGTGTCCAACTACCTCAAAGAACACCATTCATAATTTTAGCTGAGGACTGGTTCAGTATGCTGCCTTGTCAAGGCTAATGGTACCCAGCAATTATTATTAGCAATGCCCTCCAGATACCCTGGCATTGAGGGCTCAGTTACAATTATTACCATTTTTCTGTTTGCTTCTTCATTAAAATAAAAACTGCACATTACCATCTGCTCTGAGTCAAAGCCAACAGCTTCTAGAATTTCCTCCCAATTTAGCACTAAAACAATCAATGAAGAGACTAATTTATGAGTCTACTTGAAGAGTGAAGCACACCTGCAACACCTGTCATGAGAGATGTTCCCTGGAACACTTTTTCCCATTACACCCCACCCCAGCTCATCTCTTCAGGGTACATATAGGGCCATGGGGTGGGGAAGGTAGCAACTAGGACCCAGGCAGTAAGCCCTGGTATTCTTGTCCCAGTCCAAAGAGAAAGTTATGCCATGGTTCTCTGGAGAACTTAATGATATCAAGTGAATGAGTATCACGCAGCAGCAACCTCACAATTAAGCATCCAACCCACTCCAGAAAAAAAAAAGGAAGGAAGAGCAGGGTGTTACTACAGAAAACATTCTGATCCAAGGCTTATCTGGCTCAACTACTCTTCACCAAAGGTCAAGTTTGTACCAGAATGGGTACTCAGCCATTTTATCATCACTAATCCTCATGGTAATCCTCCTAAGGCAAGATCTATTACCACTTTTTAAAAGATGAAGAAACTGACAGTAAGGAAGATTAAGTGACCTATGCCAAGGTTATACAGTCAATAAACTGCAAAGCCATCACGTGTACCCAGCTGTGTTTGGCTCCAAAGCCTGCACTTTGCACTATGCTATGCCAACAAAGAAGAGTTAGGTATGGACCCTAGTTTAAATTATAGCAAGGTACACAGCATTTGCATGATACAAAAAGCTGGCTAGATGGTCATAAGCAAGATAACAAATAAGGGAGATCAGAGATGCCAGTGAAGAACAATCAATACTTGCCTTTCTCCTTCTGGGTCCTACTGTCAGTCAGGCAAGCCTTGGCTGATCCCAGGGCTACCAGCCACCGCTGTCTCTCAGCGACACTTCTGGCCTTCAGGTAGAAATACTGTTCCCCAGGGATTATCAGGTCCATGCGTGTATTATCTACAGAATGAACTGGGAGCAAGACAGAGGGAGGTCAGAGACCCAAAAGAGCCCTGTCTTCTTGAGCTTAATCCAACTTCTTGAGCTTAACTGATGGCAGTCATTGAAGGGTTCTTTCCAAAGAGGATGCCAGTCCTTGTGACCTCTCCTAATTCACACAAAGTTCTGTTTACTTATCTCATCTTAGACATCTCTGCTGATCAAGAGGGAAAACCTTGCAATTGGACTCCAAGGCATCACTAAGACTATGACCCAAAAAAGAATCACGCAATTAATTTTTCAGTTAAATTGATGTCTTATCAAGATAGAGAAGGAATCTCTCTTTCAGTGAGTGTATGTGTAAAGTATACTGCTCTGAGGCCAAGAAACAAGGGTATGTGTTTCATCTCCATGGATTTATCGGGAAACAATCAAAAATACAATCTTTTCCATCTTCTACTTCCCTTGACAAGTCAAACCAAAAGTGGCAGAATTTTCTCAGAGGCCTTTAGGAGAAGAACAAGCAAACCACACTCTTTCACCCACATCCACTCCCTAAATTCCCATTTAATCTGTTTTTCTTCTGAGCCACACCTTCTCAGCATGTCTCAAGACAAAACCAAGATGTAAAGACTATTTGAATGTCTGTTAGGTTTTTGCTTGTTCTGGTGGAGAGGGTGTGTGTATGTGTGTGTTTTCATCCTGATTTAAACATAGAAGTGTTTGATGCTATAGTAAAGACTTTTAAGTTTTGCTAATAGCCAGTGGTCCCAAGTGAGCAGGTGACTAAGGAATGAGCACTAGTTGAGTGGTAAAGCACCTTGCTCTCATTTATTTTAACCACCTCTTAACCAATCTCCTTATATAAAAGTTGGCTACATTTTGAATTGTATTTGCAAGGCTTTCTTTTGAGACATAACACTATGTCCATGGGTCTGTACTATGGGAGCAGCAGAGAGTATGCAGAGGCCAGGGGCTTTTTTGTTTTTCAGGGAAAGCAGAAAGAAAATAAAACTTGCAAGTTGCTTGATTTCTCACCTTGAATTTCACACACTGCCATTTGGATGCTCCCTTTGCAACCTTTCCAGGCATCTTCAGGAGAATCATAATAGGACAATATTCCCCCACAGAGAAGGAACCATCGAGGCTGCCAACCTGAAAACAAAAGCAAGTGTATCACTGCAATCACTGCCTGTGTATAAAGTACCTCCCAAGACACAGAAATAGGGCCTAACATAGGAGACTCGGTTAGCTTCAAGGAGATTCACACTGCCAGGGTTATTCTAAGAGAAAGAATTGTTAGAAAGACCTGTATGTTTTACCCCATTTTTGTAAACTTAAAAATGCCCAAAGAGGTATATATTTTTCAGTCACATCATTATAGAAGTCTGGAAGGATCAGCAACAAGTTTATTGATGACTCTCTAGGTACTAGGATTTACAAAAATAAATGAGATTTTTATTCTATTTTTTTTCCTAATACAGTACCAATAGTCTGTGATTTTTACTTTCTCTAAGACAAATAATTAGTGTGTCCTGAACATTACTGTTATCACATGCTTGCCTTCCTCTCTTCTGATTAAGAAAAATTATCCAAAACTTAGAAATAAGGCAACAAAGACAACAAGGTCCTTTGAATAAACGTCATACACAGTGCCAACTAAGAAGCCCATCTAGAGTCCTATGACCCTTAGGAAAAGTAACTTTGTTTGACTTCCTATTTAGTATTGATCCATTGAAATGAGGTAATCTTAAAGCATTCAAGGCTTAACTACATTCACTTCAATATTGGAGAATTTCAGGGGACAAACCATACATACTAGAAATACGCATCTTATCTAGTCCTCTCACTATATTCTAGTCAAAGCACTTATTTGTTGTATTTCTGTCTCTGGACTTTTGCTCTAACTGGATCTTCTTCATAAAATGTCATCCCTGACCATCTCTGCACAAGCCTTGTCTTGTCAGGCCTCCTCAGACAGATGCAGTTATTTTCTTTCTCTGAAACGCCATAGCCCTTTAGTGATACATTTCTCTCATGGTACTCTACCATGGCTGAGACAATCAGAGAGAAGGCTACAGACATCTGATGGGTCCTTGGGGTTTGACTCATGCAAACCAAGTGGGTAGGACATCAATGGTATTGCTTTATTACATTTTAATAGAAGGCTACTGCACTTTCTGGAGCACCCCCAGCCCAAGACTATGGAACATGGAACTACACTGTAATCAGAAGTCAGAACAGTCAGCACTAAATCTATATGAAGGAGTTGGGTAGGGAGGCAAGATATTTTGCTCATCATTTATTTAATCAGGGTCTGCTTTTCCAGCAGCTCTTTGCAAGTGTTTATTTACATCTTAGGCTACCGCCCCAGACTGAAACAGAAGAGTCAATTTCTGAGAACCTGAGAAAAGGAAGAGGTCTTTAAATCACATAGTCCAACTGGCACATTTTATAGATAAGGAAACCAATCCCAGGTAGATTAAGTGACCTAATTAGGTAGTAGACAGCAGAGCTGGGAAGAAAACTGTATCTCTATAATGCCCCTTGTAGCACTAAAACTTCCAAACCTTGGCTCCTCACTCCCAGAAAGCTATCCTGGTATAGAACAACAGCATCTTTTCATTCACAGCTCAACTCCCATGATGCTGGTTGGTGTGAACACTCCCCAAACCCACCATGACTTTGGTGTAGAAGGCATTTAGAACAACCTCAATTACTGTATTTTATAAGAGTTAGGATCCATCTGTATTCATCAGTGTTATCCAGAGAAAAAGAACCAGTAGGGTATGTGTGTAAAGATATTATAAGGATTTGTGAGTGGGTATGTGTGCATGTAAAGAGAGTATAAGAAACTAGCTCATGTGACTAGAGACTGAGAAGTCCCAAGATCTGCAGTTAGCAAGCTAGCTAGGAGAGCTGATGGTTAAGTTCTATGCTAGAAGGCTCAAAACCTAAGAAGAACCAATGAAAGCTGGAAAAGGCCAATGTCCCAGCTCAAGGCAGTCACAGGAGGAATTCTCTTACCTAGTCTTTTTGTTCTACTCAAGTCTGACTGGATAAGGCCCATCCACATTAGGAAGGGTAATCTACTTTATTAGGTCTACTGATTCAAATATTAATAGCCTCCAAAACATCCTTATATATTCAACCAGAATAAACAATCACATCATCAATTTCAAGACACATCATTATTTTATGTGACACAAGAAAGAAAAAACTCTACCAATTAAACAGTCACATAGCACTGGTTCTAAGATGCTTCTTGATTTCAGAGTTGTTTCAATGTGAAAAAAAAAAAAAGTGTCCTAAAACTGAAAAAATGCCCTGGTTTTAGCTTACAAGAATCTGAAAATTGTTGAAGAGCCGCCCTCAATCCCACCCAAAAGCACAGATGCAGTAAATTTTGAAAGCAGCTGGAAGGCTGGGCTCTGTGGTTCACTCCTGTAATTCCAGCACTTTGGGAAGCTAAGGCGGAAGGATTGCTTAAGGCTGGGAGTTCAAAATCAGTCTAGTCAACATAGTGAGACCCTGTCTCTACAAAAAGTCTTAAAAATTAGCTGGGCATCATGATGCACCTATAGTCCTAGCTACTCAGAAGCCTGAAGCAGGAGGATTGCCTGAGGCTAGGAGTTTGAGGCTACAGTGAGCTATGATCATACCACTGCACTCCAACCTGGGTGAGAGACCTTGTCTCCAAAAAAAAAAAAAAAGGTAGCTAGCAAACTATAATAGCAACTGAAACACTGAAACATTACCTTCCTTATAATAGGTTCTGTATTTATCTAGAGGAGGTTATATTTATACAAGAGACATTCAATATATGGCAATTTTATTCTGTCCTTTAACTACACAAATTGTGACCAAGAAAAATTTACCTTATAAGCACAAAATTCTTGCAGTTTCAAAAGACACATTAAGAGATCACAGAAATCTCATACCTATTAGACAAAATTTAAATGCAGAGTGACGGAGAGTTCAGATTATTACTGGGACACACTGCTCCTTGAAACTGGGATAAAGCCCAGGAATGATTAATTGTAGAGAATAGAGGCATGGATGATGAAGAGACCATTAATCCAGTTTCTGTTTTAAATTAATCTGCAGTTATCTCAGAAATGATAAAACAGTCAAGGTAACTAAAGGGCAGATGAAAACTGTTGGTCTGTATTACTCCCTGACTGTCTTCCTATCCAATCTCCACCCTCTTTTTTGCCATCTTCTATTAGAGATGCAATGTGGTATCACCCAAATTCTCTGCTTGGAAGGATTAGACAAAAAACTTCAATGAGCAGAGAAGAGTTTTAGTTCGTGTTAGCTATCATTAACATGGATGGGGTAGAGGGTAAAAAAAGAATATTTAAATACCAATTTCATATACTTTGTATTATCCTGGATTGTTTCACTATAGAAAGTATACTTGACATTTATTTTTGGCAACCCAGCATCTATCTAGTACTTTTCCATTGATGAAAACTCCCTTTTCCATACTTAATCCATGACGTTTGGATGGGGTGACCAGCTCCATGGTGGGTATATGATTTTGTCCTAAATGAAGCTTCACATCCTGTATCCTCAATGATAGTTCCAGAACGGGCAAGCGGCCCAACCAGAGACAATTCTGAGATTTTTGCTGGGACGGTGGAAAGGCATAAAGAAATAGGGACTGTCTCTTTTTTCTTTGGTCTTAAGAATGTTAGTCTGCAGCTGCCGGCAGCAGTTTGCCATCACACGGGACCTAAACATGATTCACACATAAAGGGAAACGGGACTGGAAGGATTTGAGGGACAGAGGGAGAAGGAAGAAAATCTGGATGACAGTGTTTGAACCCCATGATCAGCCCATGTAATTCCTGAAGGTAAGACACCACCTAGATTTTTCCATTAAATGAACTAATAAACGTCACTTTTTACTTTAAGCCTGTGTGAATTCTGCAAACGCAAAACTCTAAACTATCACATGATCATCTCACTAAATGTATAAAAAGCACCTGACAAAAATCTAACACCCTTTCATAATAAAAACACCTAACAAACTTAAAAGAGAACTTCTTCAACCTGATAAAGGCATCTACAAAAAACCCACAGTTAATCTGCATAAGGTGAAAAACAGGATGCTTCCCCGCAAAGATTGGAAACAAGAGAAGGATGTTTGTTTTTACACTTCTAGTCAACATTGTACTGGAAGTTCTAGCCAGGGCAAGTAGTCAACAAGTGAAATAAAAGACATGTAGATTGGAAAGGAAGCAGCAAACCTAGCTCTACTCACAGACATGCTCTTACATATTTAAACAAAAACAAAAAGCAACGAACCCACTAAAAAAAAGAAACTATTAGAATAAATGAGTTCAGCAGGTGTTAGGAGACAAGACTAACATACAATTGTATTTGTGAATCCATTTACAATAAAATCAAAAAGAATAAACTACTTAAGAATAAATGTTATTTTTTGAGACAGAGTTTCACTCTTGTTGCCCGGGCTGGAATGCAGTGGCATGAGCTCAGCTCACTGCAACCTCTGCCTCCAGGATTGAAGCGATTCTCCTGACTCAGCTTCCCAAGTAGCTGGAATTACAGATGCCTGCCATCACGCCCAGCTAATTTTTGTATTTTTAGTAGAGACAGGATTTCACCAGTTTGGCCAGACTGGTCTCAAACTCCTGACCTCAGGTGATCCACCCATCTCAGCCTCCCAAAGTGCTGGGATTACAGGCGTGAGCCACTACACCCAGCCAAGAATAAATTTTTAAAAATAAGCGTAAAACACTGAAGACTACAAAACATTTTAAAACTCTGAATGTTTTACATTCAAAGAAATTCAAGATTTAAAGATCACTATTCCAAAATTGCTAACACCTTGCTCTTTTCTCACATAGCGCAAATGCCTTTCTACCCTTAACGGACAAACAACTGTGCAAAATTTACTTTTAAAAAATCTTGGCCAAAAGGCTTTTCAGTTCAATTAATAATTAAACATTTTCAATGAGCATAGTTTTTTTCAAAAAACACACTTATATTTAGATTTAAACTGGCATACCTCATGTTAATTTATACTGAACTTTCTTTTTTTTTTTAATTTCCCAACAATAACCACCATTTTTAACTCAAAATTTCTAAATCAAGATGTTCTCATTCCCTTAAAGATCCAAACCAAA